AAAGAGTAGATTGACACCCATAGTATTTATGTTGTAAATATCAGCGGATTCGAGCAACGAAAAGTATGAGGAAAAGAGTATTAATTGAGAGAATCAGAACTTATTAGACACCCTTTATATGTTTCTTTATATGTCATACCTTTTTCTGGAATATTCGCCTCTCCAAATGCTCTGGGTGTTCCCCAATCAAATAATTTTTTAATTAACACCCAATCGTACAACTCGGTACCGTACGCATTTCCGTCATTAATTACTGTAGCATTGATAAGACTTCCATTCTGGTCGTAAAACCAAGTGATTTGATCTCCTGTAGTTATCAGCGATGTTACACTCACAGAAAAACTGAATAAAATAATGATAACGAAACAGAAGAAAAATGCCAGATCTTTCATCTAGAATAAGCCGTATATCTAATACAACAGATGTATATGTGCAAGGAACAGGATTACCATCCGAAAAATGATTATTAAACACAACCCAGGGTGTTCGTACGCTGAAAATAAGTGAAGAACTCTGATGCACCATAAGATTAGTGCTAAAGCCATGAAGATCCTACAAAATTAAATTATAAAGATTTTAACTACAAATGAATTAGTGTTCTGTAAGGTACTTTATCATTTACTAGAGGATACTGTGACAAATAGCAGTGTGTTACGATAAAAATTCTAAAAGAGTTTTGACTTACTTTGACGTTGTAAAACAACTTTCGGTCACAACAAAACGCGTTATAAAAGCGATAAGATAGAATATAATTGCAGTAAAATCTAAAACATTCCCTGCATGACGAAAATAAGCTCGTATTTTGCCGAATAAACATATTGTCTCCGCAAACTAAACATATCCACTGAAGTGAGTAGTGTCGATATTCATGTATTTCTTACCTTAATCAGTTCTTCGATAATCAAACTCCATAGCCAAATATGTACATTTATTTCCGATCGAGAAATCTTCAATTCTTTTGAATTAGCTCGATATTGACCGAAAACATTCAATGGCAAATAGCCTCCCAATAGCATATACCCAAACACAGTCAAATACCCAACAGAAAATATCTTGCGAAAACAAATAAAATTCAAACCAGCACGTATAACTCTGCTCCGATATGCAGCTAGGTTTTTTGTTTTATAGAACGAATATACTTACATAATAGTTGTAAAATAGAACTATTGGTGCATTGTAGAAACATTTAATTTTGTCCCACCACGACAATCGTTTCTTGAAAGGGATAACTCCGGCTGCTGGTAACCATGGACATAAGGGAAGTATGAGCGCTACCAGGAATACCTAGAAAAAAGTTTACAAGTGAATAAATTCGATCCAAATGCAATGTCATTACTTACAGAAAACTTTTTCAGTAAAATTCGGTTTTCTTTGCAAGGACAAGTCGTAATGGCCTGAGATTTCTAGCTCATAGTATGACAGACTAATAGTTTCCGAGGTTTCGAGTCCGAAAAGTTCTTCCCGTTCGGTAAAGGTTTCTATGAGTCCGAGAGGTCTCACAAGGCGTTTGAATAACCCGGTGCAATAAAAAGCTAAAAAACTGAAACCTAGTTCATCTAGTGCAGTTTTTGATGCTGATTTTGAAAATCTAATTAAAAATGTTAGTAAACGTTTCTGGAAAACCCTACGGAAAATCTGATTTTCCAGAAAAACTTTCTCCAAAATGACCGGATTTAATCGCTCACAGAATCATCTACTGTAAAAGAACGAAAGCATGTCTGGAGCTCGTGGTTGTGTGAATTCGTAGTAGACACTTTCTAGTAGGTATGATAAAATTCTTAAGTCTAAGTAATGTGTCATTATGGAGTTGTACGAAGTTTACATGGACAGTTTTCTTAGATGCCGGAATTTGTGCGTTTTCGGACCCTTTGCAAAAATTGAATATCTCAACAACGCAACAACTCTGGAATCTGCGGTTTTCGGCAAGATTCATGAAACTATTTGTTCTAAAGATGTCCTTACTATGAAAGACATCTGAGATGGTCGATTGAGCAGCATTATACGGTAATAGGTCATGGCTTATCTTTAACGGCTCTTACAAGAGTTTCTGCACGAACACACATGTCAATAACGTTTAAAGGAAAAGTTTTATTCAAAAAAATTCAAACTTAAAGGCTTAAACAGTTTTCCAGTGACTTACTGGAAGAAAAGAATAATATCCCGCTTTGAGACTGCCGTTACCGCTGCGGGGTGCACAGTGGGCGTCCAAGCGGAAATTTGGCGAAAAATCGAAATTTCTCGTTTTTCAAATATAAATAGTGCAAAATATAGCTCTTGAAATTCTCTATCGAATGGTGTATAAATGTCTATTTTGATATCCAATCTT